TCTGATGAAAGAAGAACAAGAGCCAACAAAATACTCCCTCACAATCGCTTCCCGCGAAAATTCCAGGGCCCCTCAGTCGCGTCCGCCGACTGATGAGAGTGTTCCGCTCCAACTTCGCGGAATGTCCGAGAAAGGCACGTGAGAAAATGCCCGCGGAGTCAGGTCACATATTCGAGACAGAACAGCACCACAAGCCCTAAGCAGTTATACGCCCGACTATTCCTACTACCTCCTGTGGCTTCGCCCCCTACAAGCTCGTGGGTGAGTAAATATATCTCAGAATTTGTCGCGTTGAGTCTATAATTTATTGACTATTTATTGACTTCGAATGTATCTAGATTGAGTCTTGGGTCCCCGAACTTCCATTACACACTATCATCACGTTGATATCTGCAATAACCCCACATATTCCCTCATCCGCTCTCCAATCAACTCTAAACCCCGATGCACGAACTTTCATTTCCAATCTTCCTTCTTTTGCAGAGGAGCCGCGAGTCCACGCACTCCTAACAGAACCGTCACCTATCAGGGTACATTTGTTTGAATGGTCACCTTTGTCACTTGGTTGGTATGAGTCACTACTATGGGGATTCATATTTGCCAGCGAAATGTTAGTTGGTTCAGCATCAGGATCAACGCCGGGGGCCGTTGGGGTGTGGAATGGGACAGCCATCAAATTATTTAAGGTGCAGGAAACAGCTGCTCAGGGCCCAACGCTACTGGCCCCCAAGGGCGCTGTGGATGCGGTGGGTAGCAATCTAGTACAGCGCATTGGGAACTTGAATCTTCGTGGACGCGGGAGTGGGTCACAGGAGGGACAGGGCGAGGCTGGAAGAGATGTTTAAGAGGGTCTTATTTTGAACGTGTATCGGTTGCCCTGTGACGGCAAATAGATGAAGAGATGGCTTTCCGGGATACTATGATGTAACCAGTTTCCCTACAAGCTCTCCTCCTCTCCTATTCTCTATCTTTCTTACGGCGTGTTTACCTTTCCCTTTAGCATAGCGTCTCATTTTCTTGTTCGTTCTTTTAAGCTCAGATAACCCCATTGTCAAATAATCAAGTTCTCTTCTTTCACCTGTATATCAGTCAATAGTAAGAATATTATAACTACGACTTCTTTAGTTTTGCTTTGACAATTCCTAAAATAACGCTGGTTACAAGAAAAGAATGGCCATTCATGAGTTTCCCAGGTTTCGACTGATGTAATAATAATTAATGGATCAGCTGTAAGTTGTTTGGTTCTGTGTGTATCCCACCCAGCTTCGGATTTTACAAGATAAGTTTCGCGCGTTGGGGCTTTCTGCCGCTCTCCAATAGCAGTTCGAGTCCATAAGGCGTGGCTGGTTGACAGACAAACGCGACAACAACCCTGCTAACTGTTCATGAGAGATCATTACTTGGCGGCTCTATAACTATCCAATACTTCCGTTAAATACTTCAGAGACAGTTGCGAGATTACTGCAAGACCCCGCCAGATGCCGCCCTCGTTATAGCCGTCGAATCCACCGACTTTCCCTTCCGCAGCGATGCAATTCCCACCAGCATCCTGCTCCATCGCAGCCCTTGCGTTCGTCTTTTGGTCATTTGATATTGTCCGTCTGGCTCACGCTGCTCCTGGCTCGCCTGCTCTGCAGAATATCCTGAAGAACACAGACCAGAGTGACTTGTACGGATATCCGACTGACCTGACGAGGGGAATCATCCCGGTACGCATTTTCCATTGAGCAGCTGAGGGGAGCATAATTGCAGCCAACTAACTTTGTTGCATGATGTGCATTTATAAAGATACCAGTACATTCGCACAAGTATGCTTTTCTCACGGGCTTTTGCGCTTCTGGTTTGCCTGTTGCGCCGAGTGTTTGCGCGGGGCATATTCGCAAGATAGTATCTTTATTGACCCGATTGCGTCTGCGACAGTGACTACTGGAGAGAACTTCCCTTCTATTCCGGTACGCGGATAACCTGTGATAATGCGCTTTTGCTGTTGTATATGTGGAAATAAGTATAGGCTAACAATTTCTCTCCGATCGAAGCTCTTTCCGCCGGGTGTATCTCAATTGAGGCAGATGTCTGGCTATTCGATGACACCCTACTCGTACGCTCACCTCCGCTTCTTTACCGATGTGCATGCTACTGACAATCTACCAACAGGTTGGCCACGACTTATCCTCTCTTACTAAATCACGCACCCTAAAATCACTCTACGTGGACCCGATCCTGGATGTCCTCCGCCGCCAGAACCCACGGAGCCCTTACATTACCGGAGAAACCAGAAAGTTTGTCTGACCTGTACACTACACACATATCTGTGTCAATTTATATCATCTATTCAGGCCTCGATCGCAACACTAACACGTAAATACAGCGGCGTCTACGACACAGATCCTTTCCAAACCCTCTACCTCTTCATTGACGTAAAAACCTCTGGGCCAGAGACCTGGCCGCACGTCGTCGCAGCCCTCGAGCCGCTCCGCGCTGCAAACTACCTCACAACCCTCCGCAACAACGACACCCTTACCACAGGCCCCGTTACCGTCATCGGCACTGGAAATACCCCACTGAGCCTCGTCGGGCCCGTCCCTGATCGCGATTACTTCTACGACGGGCCGCTGGCTGATCTCCAGAAGGAGGGGTTTCGGGACATCACAAAGTATATATCACCAATCGCATCTACGAACTTTGCAGCAGCTATTGGCGTGGATAGTATTACTCTCTCTCCTAGAGAAGGCGAGAACGAAGGGGAGAAGGACCCCTCGTGGTTGAATAGCTCGCAATTAGGGACTTTGAGGGGACAGATTGAAGCGGCGAAGAAGAAGGGGATTGGGGCTAGATATTGGGGTACGCCTGGATGGCCGGTGCGCGAGCGGAATGAGGTGTGGAGAACCTTGTTGAAGGAGGGAGTTGTCTTGCTGAATGCGGATGATTTGGAGGGTGTCCAGGAGTATTTTTAGAATTCCGGTTCTGTTTGGGGATCGGCTAGATGTCAAATAAATTATGAGTGAGAGTAATGCCCCCCTTTTTTTTTGCTTTGGATTCTCAAATGTGTCTGGCGTTTTTCGATTCCCTGTTTGACATCTATCTATACTGCCCTCCGGATATACTTCTATATACATACCCTAACGGATGTTTCTCTCCGCGTTTTTACAGGATAGAATCACCGGATCCCATGCTCTATCATGGTTTAAAGGGCCCATGTTATTTCTTTCTTTTTTCTTTCTTACTTTCTTCTCTTC